GTAACGCCACTCGCGGTCGACCGTGCAGCATCCAAAATGTTTCGTTGTTGTGTCGCTAATTCTATAATTCTCCACCTCGGTGAAGTCTTTCCAAAACTGATCCGACACCAACCAAACCAAATGTCCCACTTGTTGCGTCCACTACGAAGTGAAATGAAATCACAGCAACGGACTCAATCCACAACAAGTTGAGACCCAAATGAGAATGCGAACACTCTCCAAACGTTGGTATCTACCCATCAAATCAGCTGCATCATAAATGACTGCATGTGTATCCTCTTGCCAAAGAAATCAAGCATTCACGCAGTTCCCCAAATGACCTCCAAAGGCCCTCAATCAAATAGAAAAGTTCTCAACTCTTCACCAACAAATATGCGGCTGATAGCTCTCCAAATGGCCCCAAAGTAAAACAAGTCAAACACCTCCACCTGAGGTGAACCAATGGCCGTATCCAAATCATATCCACCACCTGCATTCGAATCAACCAACTCATCATCTGCACCTAAATTCAAATGATCCCCTAACTGTGTTACCTTAGTTAGAATCCCAAACGATGCAGTATGATCTGGAGTATGTGGAGTAATCTTCACCCAATGTGGAGTAGCATCACTCTCCACCCGCTGGGATACATCTAAGATCTGTCCAAAACTCTCCACCTGCTGAGAGTCAATTAGCTCCCTCATCGAAGCCTCAATCGAAGTGACACTACCAGACCAAACATCCAATGGAGTTTTACCTCCAATCGCAACAGTCGACAACCTATGACCAAGATGACCCAAATATGTCCCAAGATGACCTCAACACTAGAATCAATGCTCAATATCAAACGTCGGTCCTCCTCCAGCAAGGAACAGCTCACCAAATCTGCCATCGCATCTCGTTATCCCAATATTTCCTTTCCACCGAAGTGTCTCAAAATACCGTGAGCTCGGGTCAAATACAGAAATAGGTCCCTCTTGTACCTTCCATCAAAATCAGAATGAAGTACCTTCACCTTTCTGCCAATCTCACACTTCTTCAATCTGTTGGAGACTATTAGGACTTTATCCAATCGAGATTTGGTTGCAACCCAAGCATACCTAGAACAGCCACCAACAAAAGGAACTAAATATCTATTACCTCTCAATGATGCCTCCTTGGAAGTTCCCCAAATGCCCATATGAACTCCATTGAAAAGACCCTTCGTGCTGTGAATAGAGGTGTCAAAATTTACCTCGGTCTTGTTGCTTACATTAAAATATTCACTGGACTTCAAATTGCAGGTCGATGCACCCTTTTCCAAATCAATATTGGAATGACCAAGCCTCAAATGCCGCAGTCTAATCGAATCAATAGAAATCGTCAGCTCTCCACCTGTCATCGTATTCCCAATTAAATAGTACAGGTTATTCTTCCTGATGCCCTCAGCAAAATAAGAGAGTCTTCCACAATCTCCAGAATCATGTCCTCGATACGAACTCAAAAACCCTCTCCAATCAAAGCTCCAATCGAGATCAAGTTCTTTCTCAAAGAAGGAACATATCTCACACCATGTAACTCTCTAACTGTCTCGTCATACATCTTGATACGAATTCTTCCTATCCCAAGGATCTGACATGCACGGTTATCACCCATGTATACCACACAACTCTCCAGCTTCTCAAAACTGGCAAATCATTCCATTCTAGTACACACATGATAGGTCGCACCACTATCCAACATCCACTCGGATTCCTCCGAATAGCAACCTATGAGACTGATAGAAAGCGAATAAACAGATGAGTTAGAAAGATTACCATCCGATATAACGATGTTCACTTTTGATGATGATTGCTTCCCTTTTCCTTTCTGCTTATTCTTCATCCAATCACTGAGCTTTGGACAATCTTTCTTCCAATAACCAGTCTTTTTACACCAAGCACACTAATCTTTATCAACTGTAGGATGCCCTACTCTAGACTGTGACTTTCCATTCTTTCGGTTTGGATTCTTTCCTCTTGCAATCATTGTCTCTGTTGTTGTGTCACTTGTAGACTCCTTATCTTTCTTTTAAAGCTGATAATTCACAAGTGCAGCGGTGACCTCACTATACGAAAGGGACGCATTCCCATTAATTAGGATAAGAACAAATGTCTCATATTTCTCATCTCGAAAGGAACTCAACAATAACAAACCTTTGTCCTCATCTTCTATCATAACATCCACATTCGTCAAATCCGTAAGAAACTTTGTGTAGTGGTTCATGTGATCGCCAATGAAGGTTCCCTTCTTCAATTGGAAGCGATAAAACCTCCTCTTCAAATACAAGCGATTTTCCACACTCTTGGTCATATACTTGCTCTTAATGGGTCTCCCAAATCTTTTTAGCTAAAGTCTCATTCATCACATCATATTTTAAATCTTGAGTCAAACAAGATCTAATCATACCACACGTCATTCTATTCATCTTCTTCCAAACCTTCTCTTCAATATCATCCGGCTTGCCATCCAATTCCAAAATATCTTTCAAATTTTGCGCGTTCAGCGCATCCAAAACCTCACATCTCCATAATCCAAAATTGTTCGTGCCATTAAACTTCTCCACATCTATCTTCATGGAGTGGATATTCAAATTTTGAATGGTCTTCACGCCAGAATCACCACCCTCAACACCCGAAGTACCTTCTTTCCCGGCCATCTTCCTCAACACACCAACAACCAATGCGGAACAAACTGAAGAATTGATCTAAAACTGAGAAAAGATAGAATTTTTACCAAAAAGATTCCACCTTTAACTTCAAACGAAGCTCTAACCGAACTTTTAAAGTGATCTACTCCTCCAAATAGCCCAAGCGTAGCTCGAGCTCTGATAACACTTGTTGTGCTCTGATACCACTTGTTGTGTGCGGAAGCCACTTTTTGTGCGCTAATGAACCAAACCAAACACCGAGAGAGAAGGCAATTCAAATCAAATAATAATGGCACAAACTCAAATACAAAGTTTAACATGATTCGGCAATTTGCCTACGTCCACGGGGCAAGAAGGGGAGGGCTTTACACTATAGAGAAAGAGAGTACAAAATAGAGATTACAAGATCACTCAAACTAACCTCTCAAACAAAACCCTCAAATCTCTCACAAAACACTCAAACAATTTGCTCAGAAAAGAACTCTTTTCTATGCTCAAAACTCTCCTTCAAGCTACCCGAAAAGTGATCAATATGATCCAATAAACCCTAAACAAATCGTGTTCCTATTTATATAAAACAAAGAAAACCCAAACAGAGCAGGAAACCGAAGCAGGCGCAGACCCGACTCGCGGTCGACCGGATCCAACGACCGAAACCAAAAAACACTATAGGGTTTTGTTGGTCGACCATCTCGCCACTTGCGGTCGACTACAAAAAGTCTAGAGATTTTTCTTATACTGTGCACGTTCGCGATCGACCGCAGCGCCACTCGCAATCGACCGCAGCGCCACTCGCAATCGACGGTGCAGCATCCAAAATGTTCTGTCGCTGTGCCAATTCTACATTAACGTCATGGAAGCAACCAAGCAATGCTAGTACTGCCACTATATTCGTAAAGGCAGTCATTCAAAGGGGTATAGCTGGGATTTCACAAAATGATGGTTAGGGTTTAATCATTGTTCAATAAATTAAGGCGTGCCCTTCTCGCCTTCGACTTGGGCTTTTTTGTAAGCTTGCGGCCAATTTGCCTTTTGCCGACGGCGCCTTGATTGATGGGAGGCCATGTATTCACCCCTGATCTTGTAAATAACAACCATCATGCCACTACGAGTACTGAATTGTAAGTCGAGAACTGCATAAAAGTTTTCATCTCGTTATTGGTCTCGGCTTAGTTTTAACCTTAACGTTGCTATTTCTTAGCACTCTCATTTTTCAAACCATAAAGGGGAAAAACAATCACAAAAAATTATTATGAAATAAAACCTGATTTCAAACTTAACTCAGAATTTACAAGCGACTATATTTATTCTTTTATTTTGCAAGATAAAATTGTTATTATATGGTATTCAAATGAGCTCATGATTTCATGTTTTCATAGACATGAAGCTTCGTAAACGATGGAAACTGCTTGGTTTCCCATGTCATTTTTGTGCCTTTTTAAAGATTCATGTCGGATTGCGACAATTTCAAGTGCATGAGAAGACTAAAAAGATCCCTTAATCTTTTGGGGAACACTGCTTAATTCTTTTTTATTTAAATAAATACTTTAGGGAGTGGAATAACCAATAGAAACTTTGCTCTTTGCCACATTATACATATTTCCAACATCCTCATTTATATGGTTTTTATTTCTTTCATTTTGTTAGCCTAAATCTCATCTCATAGTTTATTTATCGGTAAGACCTAGCATTCCAATATGTTTAAAAATAATTTTTTGAGCTTTTTGGTAAATTTATTTATCGTTGAGTTTCTCATTCATAAAACAACCATCAAATTGATATTGTAGTTAAAACTTTTTAGTTAATTATAGTTATGTTCTAAAAAATCTGCGATCAATTAGAAGTCATTGATTATTTAATTAGAAATGTTAGTTAATTAAGATATTTATGCATATTCGTATCCAGTTTGATTGGTTATGGCTATGTCAATATATATATGCATGATGTGATTCTATGCTCGTTGATCAAAGATTTAAAAAAAGATAACACATACGATAATAATCGTGAAAAAAAAATTATCACTCGTTCATGTATCCAAGCAAAGAAGATACTTTTGATACTTTTATCCGCCGTGTGCAAGAGTTTATGCATACAAATTTTGTTCATTTGGTTCGAATCCTTTTTATATCCCTAATTTGGACACAATAAAGATCCATAATTAACTCATGCTTCTATTAACTTTAGACAATTAAAAACCGCAATTTGTCCGTGAATTGAGGGCAAACTCATTGAATGAAAGCATATTCTAAAGTCAAAAGTTTCAAATGTGATTAGGTGTCACCTAATTTGAAAGGGATTGGAAGAATTATATTGGGGTTATTGACTCTAGCCTCTGGCCTCTGGCCATACATATTACATGGAAATTTCAAATTCTTAAATTTAAAGACAACAAATACCATTCACCAACACCTCCCATTTCTGTTCTAATCTTTGATATGATCCCTCTTTCGATAGAAGGTTAAAAAAAAAACACGCTGATATACTCTTGTCTCCATGCCCAAAATCAAGATCACTCTACTTTGAAGTCTAAAAAGAAGTTCAAGAGGAGGTTGATGAATCCTTTCGTTGGGTATGCAACACTATTCTATGAACCTCGTTCATAAGGTTATGGGCCATTTTTTCTTCCTTTAATCATTCTTTAATTTTTAATTCTTATTCTCTTGATCTCCCAATCTATATATTTGAAGGCCTTTTTTTTATTTCGGTTTATTCTCTTGTTGATCAATCTCCTAATCTTCTTCTCTTTAGGCGATAAAAATTTCCCTAAAAAGTTAACTCTCTTTTTTTCCCCCTCGTTTCATCTACTGTCTTAGTTTTTTGGTCTTGTAAGAGTATGCAATATTTATTTGATATGATAAGAATACAAAATCGCCATCTCCTAACCATGTCATAATTGCACCTTTTATCTTAAGCTTGTTCTTATTAATTTACCTGAAACTTATTGTTCTGATGTATAGGGTGTCATATTCAGATTTCAATACAACATACCTAATTTATTCATTATCTTTCTTCATTCCAAAGTTCTGTTTCATTAAGTATGGATACAATGCAATACAGCCACTAGCTAAGTTTGGGCACCTGCTGATAACTTGTACAGTTGATTTCCGTAAGCCGACAGATTCTTCAGCAAAAATGGGTTGCGTCTCATCAAAAATCATGGCAAAATCAGCAAGTTTTCGCGAAGAGTTCAACCGAAGCGTGAGGAGAAACACAAGTAGCATCGATGAAATAATCATATCGAAGAACAACACCGACCAATTTGTAGCTCTCTTATGCACTGCCAACACTGTTACTAAAAAAACGCTCAAGGAAGTACGACCTGCAGAAAATCTTAAACAGAACGAGAATTCTGTTACTGTCAAAGAGCGGCTAGAGAATGACATAGAAACAATCAATACTTGGGAATTACTAGCCGATCTAGATGAAGATAATGAAGGAAAAGAGCATTCCAAATCCATTTTATGTGACGATGTAGCTCAAGCTTCTAGAAGCTTTCGGACTGTGGAGGATTTCGACGCAATGATTGAGGAGAAGACGAAAGCCAATGCACAAGAAGGACTAAATACCGATAGTGAGAAGGGTCCAAAGAGAAAAGCCATGGCTAAGGAGCTCACATCTCTCAAAATGCCAGGCTTTGAGTTTTCAAGAGCCGGGAGCCTAAAAGAATGGCTTTCACAAGGAGGCCAAGTGTTTTCTCCAGGGTCTTATATCACTCCTAAATTTGGCAATTTTGTTGAAAACAGATTGCATAATGGGGAGAATGCTATTGAATTTGATCCTGAGTTGGTTGAACAATTTGAACAAGCCATGGATCAATTGACAATTGAGGAGGAGTTTGTACTGAAAGAGATTATAAAGAGCTCGGAAGATGGCAATGAAGAAAGAAATTTTTTTGACGTGAGTAGCAAAGCTTGAGGGAGATTTGTGAAGCTCTCTATAGTTTTTGAGGATCTTGTGATATAGAGCTCTTTTTTGTTTTGATCATGTATGTTAAGCACAGAGATTTGAAGTATGTATCATTTTACCATGTTGCCTTCGGCAACGATGTACATAAGGAACATGATGGTGCTTGTGTGCTAGGTACTTGTTTATGCTTCCTCCTAAATTTTTTGGTTCAGTAAAATACAGAAAAACTGCTACCAATGCTGAATTCTCTGCTCATTGTAGCTTGCTCTTGTCTCTTTCCATTTACATCTCTTGAACTGATTTTGGTTGGCCTCTTGAATCAAATTTTCATTTTCCTTTGCACCTGTGCTTGGTAAGAAAATGAGCAGAATAATTGTTTTGCACCTGAATCTATTGAAAAGCTAGGCGAAACAAATTCCAACAACTGAAATGTGATTTCTCATGCTGCGCATAACACAAAGCGTAAAATGATTAAATTCATTGACTTATAAAGAAAAGCATAGAAAAATCACTAAATCAAACTAATTGAGTAAGCTAATAAGGAAGGGATTCGTGTTACCGAAGAAAGTGCTAAATGTATCGTGCACCATCTCTTCGGAGAAACACAGCGACGCATCCGAGTCAGATATCCAAAGAAATCAAATCGATGAAATAAATGGTTTGCTTGAATCTGATGCTGACGCAATGGAAACTGAAGGCACATTTGGGCATCGAGTGGTGCAAGTCCGGATTGAGTCACTAATCAATCTTATTCCAGTCTAGTTCTCTCACTTGTAGTGCTGGTTTTTTCCAATTCAACCTCACTCCAAGGAGCGAGTTTCTAATTTGATCCAGTGAACAGGACCCCTGAGTGATTTTCTTTTTTTTTCTTTTTCTTTTTACTCTTAAAATTGATAAAAAGGTTTGAGTAGGCGGATAGACGCACTATGGTTATATTCTTTTTTTTTTTTTACTCTTAAAAGAGTCTAAAGAGTTTCACTAAGGAGAGTATATTCACACCTACAAGGATCTGTTCACCACAAATAAAAGGGAATTTTTTTTAAAAAGACCGTTTTTGCTAAATAATTAGCAAAATCGGTCATTTTGCTAATTATTTAGCAAAATCAACCTCTTTTTGGCCAACAGGCAAAAAAAATGTCGATTTTAGAAAACGCCCAGCTCAGAACATACGAGAGTACTAGTCCCGTATGTTTTGAGTGAACTAATTAGCGATTAGTGCTTACAGAAAACATACGAAACTACTAGTCCTATATGTTTTGGGCACTCATTTGTTCTGCCCAGCAAACCCATGGGACTAGTAGTCCTGTGGGTTTGCTGGGCAAAACAAACTAGTCTCTGCTTAACTTATGGGACTATTAGTCTCGTACGTTAAGCAGAGACTAGTTTGTTCTGCCCAGCAAACCCACGGGACTACTAGTCCCGTGGGTTTGCTGGGCAGAGGCAAAACATGCACAACAACATGCACAGACCTCTAACTTCGTATACAGTATTATTTGACAAAATTTTTCACAAAAATATTATTCACATTGTATACATTGATTTTCACAACACAAATCTAAAAAATACACAAATCCACATTGATTTTCACAAAATTTTCACAGCACAAATCTAAAAAATACACAACATCACAACTTAAATCCGATGAAATAAACACCGGATAATAACAAGTTTAATCAATTCAGAACATCACAACACAATATACATGTCATATGCATACCAATATGGCAAAATTCTAAACAATTCCAAATGTATCAAGTCTACCCATAATATGATATGTAGTCTAAGCTAAACAAATCCAAATGTATCAATAATTTCATACGACAATATATAATATTAGTGGAAAAGCTAACAACCTAAAAGTCCGCCCCTCCCTCGTCGTCTCCCTCTTCGTACCCGCTCAAATCGTCGGCGGCCTCCTTCGACTTGAGCTCGTATATGCTCGCTCTTTGGTTGTGTGTGGGGCAGTGACGGTAGAAATAGAAATAGAAAATAGAAAATATTTTACCAATTAATTGCTATCTACTTGCTCTTGAAGGACAATGTGACTTATTATGCCCTAATTGACTACTGTTTGAGGAAAATTTGCAGTAAAAAAAATGAAAAAAAATTGATCTGTATTCCTTTCAAAATCAATTACAATTTGGATTCCGATTACAAAAGAGAGGAGAATGATCTGGATTCTCCCCTTTGTTTAAATCTGGGTTCTTCACGGTGGCGATGAGATGCCTCCCTCGAATGCTCGCGTCGAGTTTGCTTCTCGTTGACGATCCGACGTCTTGTTTCACTGGAACATGATCTTCTCCTCACGATTTGACGTTGTGGAGAACTTGCGTGGCAAGTTTGAAACTCTGGACGAGTTGATAACTCTGAATGAGTTGGAAACTCTTGAAAAAGATTTGATTTGAACCGAGAATCGGTTCTCAAGGTTGATAACTCTGAATGAGTTGGAAACTCTTGAAAAAGATTTGATTTGAACCGAGAATCGGTTCTCAAGCTAAGGATGAAGAAGCTCTTATTGCAGATCTCCCAAGCTCCAGAAATGCTCTAAGGATCCTGTTGACGAGCCAAGAAGTTTCAACAGACCGCACCCCTTGAACTGAATTGATTTTCAGTTATTTATAGGGGATTAAGGGGTGTAACCACCTCCTTAATTCGCTCCTCAGTGGGGCTAATGGGATGTAACCGCCCCTTAAATCACTCCTGAGTGGAGTTGTGATCCCCTCAGATCGTGGGAAACGATTTTGAAACCGTTCAGCTCGTGTTTGAACCAGTCAAACGTAAAATCCATGTTCTGATGTGAATTCTGTGTTCAAACGCAGTGTTTGGAAGCTCAGACGTAGCAATTTAGAAGCTGCGTTGGCATCTTGTTGAAAGCTGCGTTTGGCAGCTTGGGAGCTACGTTTGGCAGCGGATGAAAGCTGTGTTGATAGCTTTCGGAGACTGCGTTTGTGGCCGAACATGAACTGCGTTTGCAGGTTTTGGAGCTGCGTTTGCGGCCGAACATGAGCTGCGTTGACGGCCGAATCTGAGCTGCGTTTGCAGCTTTTGGAGCTGCGTTTGTAGCTTTTAGAGTTGCGTTTGAGCTGCGTTCGTGGCTATGAACACGGCGCATCTTGATGCTGGTACGCGGGGAGGACTTCCACGTCTTGATTTGAAGAGACCGTCGATTTGTAGTCTCTTTCTGTCGAAGTGTTGCAAAGATCGTCATTTTGTAATCTTTACTTTAGCTCTCTGATATGTGAGAGTCGTCAGATTGTAACTCCCGATGTTGATTGTGGAGGCTGTTGATTAGAGCTTTCATCAATTGTTGTGAAGGTCGTCAGATTGTAACATTCATCGATCCACGTGAAAGTCTTCAAATTGTAGCCTTCTGGAAGTCGTCAGATTGTAACTTCCATCATCGGTGTTTGATGGGGATCAGCTATCTATTGTGATTTTTGGACAGCCTACAACTACATTGTCCACATCTTATTCGTGATGCTACTCCTTCCCGGCCTTGATCCATAGTACCTCTAATGCGCATAGAGCGAGGTCGTCCCGCTTGTCTTTTGTATTGAGGTAGTAATATATATAATATATACAAATTCGGCCAATAACGAGTATCATTGGGAGGATGAAAACTCTCCTTATAATCCTTTCGATAATGATTTGTTGAATACCAAGTTGAGCAATACCGATCATAAGGCAATCTAGCGCCACCATCCTGACTGGAACTAGCCGCTAAAACATGTTTATATGGTAGTTTTGTAATTGTGGTATACTACAAGTACAACTACGATCCTAGTCATGGAGATGGATGGTGTAAGTACCATCACAATCTTTAACCTCCCCTTCATTGTCGTTGAATGGTTCGATTCTACATGTTCTTACAGCCATAATCCTTTTCTGCAAAATTATCTCATTTTTTGGAGTGTACTTACTCGTCCAATTTGCACCATCACTACGTCTCTTATTAAAGTATGCGTTCAATCTATAAAACGTCCTTACAACTAAGGCTTGAATTAGCATAGCACGGGCACCCTTAAGTACATCATTGAAACTTTCAGAGTAATTAGTTGTTATCATACAATAGCACACTCCACCATCTCTACATAATGCTCATCGATCTTCGTATTGCGGCTTCAAGTTTTGTTCAATCCAATTGTGCGCTTCAACTGATAGGGATTTAATTTTCTCCTTACAATGCTCATATACAAGTGGGTCAGTGGGTTTGCTGGGTCGGGTTTGGGGGAGATGGAGATCGGGTTTAGGAGGGAGATGGGTTTAGGAGAGGTTGAGTTCGGTTTTGGGAGAGAGGGAGATCAGGAGAGAGAGAGAGTGAGTGAGAGAATGAACGGCTGTGCCCTAATTTGGGGCACAGCTGGGCTTTATATATCCCGACAATTCTACGGGACTACTAGTCCCATAGAATTGTCGGGCACTCATTTCTCTGCTAGTCTTGTACATTAAACAGAGACTAGTTTGTTCTGCCCAGCAAACCCACGGGACCACTAGTCCCGTGGGTTTGCTGGGCAGAAGAAATGAATGTCCAAAACATACGGGACTAGTAGTCTCGTATGTTTTCTGTGAGCACTAATCGCTGATTGGTTCACCCAAAACATACGGGACTAGTAGTCCCGTATGTTCTGAGCTGGACGTTTTTTAAAATCGACCTCTTTTTGGCATGTTGGCCAAAAAGAGATCGATTTTACTAAATAATTAGCAAAATGGTTGGTTTTTCTAATTATTTAGCAAAAACGATCTTTTTAAAAAAACTTTCCCCCAATAAAACTATATAGAGTCTATTTACACTTGAGTGATACTAATGGAGCCTATTCGTAATTAACTCTATAAAAGCTTATGAACTCTATTAGCATTTTTATACAGCCAAGGAGACAAAGAACTCTTCTCCAAACCCACTACTACAAACTGTAGCAGCCCCAATGGTTGTAACCGTTGGGGCTGAGCATGTCCCCAATGGTTACAACTGTTGGGGCTGCTAAAATGCCCGTTGGGGCAAGTCTCGTTGGGGCTGATTTTGTCCCAACGGTTGAAAAACTTGCCCCAACGGTTGTAACTGTTGGGGCAAGTAATTTTTATTTTTTTGGTTTTAAAAAATAAAATAAAAATGCCCTAACGGTTACAACCGTTGGGGCAAGTATATAATTTGTAAAAAAAAAATAGAACCAGCAGCTAGCTAGCTTTGAGAGACCAAATTCAGCAAGCTAGCTAGCTTTGAGATACCAAATTCAGCAAGCTCAGTTCAAGACAAAAGTTCTGTTCACATCAGCAAGCTAGCTAGCTTTGAGATACCAAATTCAGCAAGCTCAGTTCAAGACAAAAGTTCTGTTCACATTAAGAATCAGCAAAGAGATTTTCATGTCCACTGGTACGCTCGACAGAATAAGCCCACTATCGGGCATAGATTCAATTGGCATCACTTGTCTACAACACATACAAAATCACAATTGGCATCACTTGTCTACAACACATACAAAATCACAATTGGCATCACTTGTCTACAACACATCAAGCTAGCTAGCTTTGAGATACCAAATTCAGCAAGCTCAGTTCAAGACAAAAGTTCTGTTCACAATAAGAATCAGCAAAGAGATTTTCATGTCCAATGGTACGCTCGACAGAATAAGCCCACTATCGGGCAGAGATTCAATTGGCATCACTTGTCTACAACACATACAAAATCACAATTGGCATCACTTGTCTACAACACATACAAAATCACAATTGACATCACTTGTCTACAACACATCACTTGTCAATGAAACTCCAAATAAGAAGGATCACAAAAATTACAAACATTCAGAGACAAACATTCAAGGAGTTTACATTGACAGAATACTCAAATGAAGTTGCAAAATTACAATATCCTTGTAATCTGATATTGCATCATTGCAGATAGGTTCAGTATATGATTCACTCGCCAACAGTCTAGAAAATCGACAAAAAGTTCGTCATAATCTGAAAAAAACTTCATCTCAAGAATAAAACTTCATCACAAGAAAATAACTTAACTATTGGAGAATCACATTTTCAAGAAATCTACACATTCTTTCATCCTGACCATGATTCATTACAATCATGGACTCTTCTAGAACACTGCCAAAGAATACGAGCAAATTAGATTCAAGAACTTGGGGTCAGACAGCATCACAATATCAAGATTGGTGATAAAGTCACCATCATCAGGATATGAAAACAGCGATGTGTAAAGAACTATTACATAGATAATAAGAAAACTAGAAGAAATTAGATAAGCACTTACTCTTGCCATGTTGAAAGAAGGATATCTTGAAAAAGCTTTTGAAAGAACATCATCATTAAACCTCATTGCCAAGATCTCCACAAAATATGCAGAAATCATCTGCAAAAAAGAAAAAAAAAAGCTTAATTAACCTTTGTGTATTCCAGCAAATTAATATTGTGTATCCTCATTAATATGTAAAGAAAAAGCAAAAACACATAGACACATTTAGGAGAAGATTTGATTGTATGAAAAAACAGAACTAATGAAATATTGGAGTTCCTCTGGAGAAATACAAAAGCCTGGCTTCTTAAATATACATGTAAACTCATATCCCTGTGCTTTACATGCGTAGACATCAAGAGATGTCATGTAGCCAAAACACAAGCAGAACCAAAACGCCAAATAGATTGACTATCACATTTAAAAATAAGTGAGAAGTATGCGGCTCAAATTTTGCCTCTCCTAATATATGCATAGACTTCTCAGCTTTACCACTGTATCTTCTCTATGTACAAACATAGAAAAAACAGAAGGTTCCAGATAAACTTGGAAGAGACTGTTTCACATTAGTTTAACAGAATAGGTCCAAGAAAAACAAGGACCAAAAAATTAACACCTCAAGCACATAGAGAAATTAGAATATGGGGCAGTGATGTCGTAGGAAGCCATTAAGAAAAAGAAAAACAATCATGATCAACCATAAATTATAATTTCCAATATAAGTAACCTAAAAGTTCAGTGAGAAAGAGCGTTCAAATTTGTGAGATGCAATCATGAAATTAGTTCACCTTAAAGAACATGAGCCTAAATCACAACACAGCTCAAAAACATTAGATGGAAAAGGGAAGCACGATGAGCAACCAAGAAAAACAAATTCACTTAAACCATGTGTTGATATATATAGGTGATAGAACTACAATATTTATTTTTTCGTAGACTTCAATTTAACAGGCAAAAAATAGGACCTAAATGCTTACACGTTCTTTTAATATGACAGAAAAAGGAAAAATATTGTATGAAATACTAAACAAATAAGTGAATGAGATAAGAATTCATACTCTCTTCTTTCATTTTCGCTACCTAAAGTTGGAGAAAAGTTTCAATAATTTTGAAAATAATAGCAATCAATAGCAATCAAACTTAGCTTGATTTTATTACAATCATCCCCATTAGCCAATCAAGATAATGTAAATTCAATCACTTTCACTTTGATTTAGTCCTAGCAAGAAAGTTTGTGAAAAACATGGATACGAACAAAGGAGATAATGTGAATGCAAACCTTGGTAGATTTGAACATGAGCTGAGCAGGGTAATTAAGGAAAGCCAAAGATCCCTTGGTGAGTCCATGAGATCCCATAAGAACTGCTGAAAGGTTAACATATGTCTTCCATGGATTCACCATCTGCTTCATTGTGAATCCTTGAAGATATATCAGCCCTAAGTAAACAAATCCTTGCACAAATGTGAAGTACCAGCCTTAACTACAAAATTGAGGCAAAATAAACCAGATAATTAAAATAAACCAGATAATTAAAATCAGATTACAAGTTCAAAGATTTAATCTCACCTAAACTGCAACCTATTATAGACATATTCCTGAAATATGGGCAAAAAAGACTTTAATCAAGAAGAGAAACCCAGATGAAAATTTTGACATCACAAGAAAAAAGGTGGATACCAGATGTTATTGAAAGTCTCTGCATGCAATGAGAAAAAGGGCAATCTGCGAGCAGCTGCGGCGGGGGGCGGAGGCGATCTTTAGGCGGCGGAAAAGAGAGGAAAGAGCTTCGTGGCTGCAAGGGTTTTTTTTTTTTTGATGAGAGGGGCAACGCGAAGAAGAGGGGGAATGTGAAAGAAGGGGCACGGGGCTTTTGTGTGTTTTTTTCTTTTTTTCTTTTTTTCTTTTTGGTAAAAAAAAAGGGGGAAAACTCCCGCTCTTCTGAAAATAAAAGCCCCAACGGTGAGAACTGTTGGGGCTGATAAATGTTGCCCCAACGGTTCGTTCCAACTGTTGGGGCTGAGCATCTTTGTACTAGTGACCCAACAAGTTTTACCCATGTATTTGAGAATGAAAATACTATTATATAGATAATATGAGATAGATGGGTTTTTTTCACCAAATTATTTTAGGTCTAGAGAATAATTTCTTTGACTTAGGATTTTTCCAAGCATATTCTTTGACAAAATATACAATAATAATATGGATTTGCAAAGGATGGACGCTTTGCGTGTGAACATCTGTGCGTCTCTTTCCTAAGGAAGCTTATCTGAGGAGTATTAACGTGAGAGACTATAACTTAGGTTTCAAGGTTACTACAAAAACATTTTTGAGAGAATACTATACGTTTCAATTGGTGGACTATATATGGATTTACACATATAAAATGATAATTTATTACTGTCCTTTTTTGTATTATTTCTGACTTGTAATTTTTCCCCCAGAAATCGGGCAAGGTGTCAAGGGAGTTCACGAAGTAGAGGAATAATTTAAAATATACATGAAGGAAAAGAGAGATGGAGAGATAAAGCGAGAAGATAAGATGAAAGATTAGAAGACGGGAAGGAGTAATGCGGCTTCATGAATCAAGTCGTTACGTTGCTCCAAACCGAATATCTAATTCGGTATAAGTTGATATTCTCATACCAAAAGAAAGATGAACGTACAATCAATCGATGAAGAATGCCCACATCGCTGAATTTATTTTGAAATACTCTCTCGTTTTATTTCATTCCGAATGTAGGAGTAAGTGACAATGCAATCACATGAATCTATTCCTTTATACAAAAAGGAGAACTAGAGAGTCATTGTTCATGCTACAGTAAATGCCACAGTAGATTTACTGTAGCATTATTACTGTAGCAGATAATTAATTAAAAAGTGTTACTGTAGCACACGGGTATACTGTAGCATTTAAAAGGTACTATAGCAGAGCGGGATACTGTAGCATTCCCAGAAAATTCAAAACAGGAGATGTTAAAAAGGTGGGATTACTGTAGCAAAAAAAACACACCGTGCTTTGCACGGACAGCAGACTAGTCTATGATATATGAGGGAATGTTCTTGTGCCAAGACTCCCAAAACGTTGAAGTAGATGAAAAAAGATGGATTGAAGCAACGGACGACGAGAATAGGACCCCAAATTCTAAGATTGAAAAGAGCAGTGAAGATGTACTTGTAAAAATATCATCTACTTGTAAAATGTAGTGAATTAAACAAAGTGAGAATATCAGTGGTTATGATTTACATGTATGATGTGGATGCTCTTGAAATTAGCTAGATGTGATTACAAATTTACAATAGTTAATCAAAACTTGACTGTTGGTGATCACTAGTTTAAAAACAAAACCACGGATATGCACATCCAAAGTTTGGAAACTTTTTCAGCGGTAAATTATAGAAATGTCCTCTTGAGCCTTTTTTTTTTTTTCTGCAAATCCGTAGGATTCCACAGGGGAGAAATTCATTCTGCCGGTACAGTAGGGCCACGTGCGTGGGACCCACAAATCCATCTGTCTCTTGCCGCCTTCCATGTACTAATCCTAATAAAATTATAAATCTGTTGCACCCAGAATGCACCCAACTACGGGGACGACGTTTCTCGTTGGGTATTGACGTGGGTCCAAATTAGCTTCACGCTTATGAGTTTCTTTTATTAAACACTAATTAATTTATCAAATTATCTCTGTCATTTCTCCTCACTTTTTTCTGTCATAATTCGAGAGCTCGCTGTCCCAATCTGATCCCCTTCCATCTTCAGATCCAAGGAAACCCTAATTCAGAGGAATAATCAGTTACAGGTACGCTTTTTCCTCCAAATTCGTCATCCAATCTCCAAATTCGATCTTTTCCTGAAGAATTTGTTGCTATATATTGATGATAATTTGGGATCAAGTTTAGGGAATCTTATAATCTATAGATTGAATTGATATGGATTTGGTAGAGGAGTGTTCAAAATCTAATCTTGAGGAGGGGGAAGACGAGAAGAATATTGAAGCAGTAAAGAAAATGGAACCTTTTGAGGTTAACAGAGAGAAAATTAATGGGGAAATGGGTTTTGAAGAGAATTCTGAGCTTAATATCCCAGTTCAAACGGTTGAAGAATCAATTGAACCCATTGGGTCTCCTTCATTGGCACCGAAAGTGAATGGAGGAGGAATTGTAGACAAAAATAAGGAAGAATCATCTCCGAGATCAATTGAGTCATCCTCAAATTCAAACCTTGAAGTGAATTCAGAACCCAGGAAAGGATATGGATTGAAGAAATGGAGGAGAATAAGAAGAGATTACAATAAGGATGCAGGAGGAGCTGCGGATTCTTCGGTGATTTTGAAAAGAAGGCTTTCAGCGAATGAATCATCAAAAGCTCAGGATGATAATAAGGCGAAAATTCCTGTTGAGGAGGGGCTCGAGACCCCTACTCCTTCTGTTGGATCTCTACGTTCAACTGAAGCAGTTGATGCTGTTGGTTTAGATCCTGAGCTTATCCAATTGATGACAGCTGGTGCATTTGCAATTGGCATGGATTCTGACAACAGTGAGGACCGAAGTAGTAAATCCTCAACTGCAGCGAGTTTTCCAAAGCCGAGGCATGAGATTGGCTTTGGACGAGAGAGAGGGAGGATGAAAAGTATTGGAGGCAGGGTAGCTGGGAATGCACTCCAACAGAGGAATCAAAGAGGGAAAGCCGGTGTAGTAGATGCTAGCAAGAAGATCCGAGGAGATCGAATTAGTTTAGAGAAGGAGAATTCACAATCTAGTGTTGAGTCTGACTTGAGAAGCTCGAATATGGGTTTTATGCTATGGGGAAGTGGAGTTAGTAACGGGAAACAGAGTGAGAAATCTTTGAATTTTGACGGGGAGAATGGTGACGAAACTCAAACAAGTGAGGAAGTTAGGTCAGGTTACTATAAAGAGAATGGCATTGTTGAAGATTTATTGAAGGGAGATTTGGATCCTAATTTGTTGGAGGAGAGTAAGGTAAATAGGCAGAATTTTCATCCGCCCTCAGGCATTGATCCTTTCGTCGAGTCATTTGTTATGCTACAGGCCGCACAAGAAGCGCTTGAACTAGGTATTTTCTTCATTTCATCAACTTGTTCATTTATTATTTTTGTTCTTTTTTGGTGGCTTTCTAGAAACTTGAGAAAAAGCATATCTTTGGTTGTTTGCCGGATCTAGTTGTAAGGCCTTCGCATGAAAAGAAAAGCCAAATTAGAACTGAAGCAGGTCATGTGCCTGTATAATTATTCTTTAAGGAGGTCTCAAAGTACACTAGTATTATAGTCATTCTGTTATCTTTTAAAGTAATTCATAAAGATAATACATTGCCTTGAGAATGTTTGTATTCTTGATCTATTTGCCTCTAGTAGCGAATTCTTTTATTGATAAAAGCTGCATGGCCAACTGGTCAGATCTTTCTTTTCTTGATCTATAGAGGCATTTATTGTGGTTCTTTCTTGCCAGAAAATATTGTTGTAAACGTTTGTACAGATTTCATCCAATTATCTTGTAAGTTCTGATCTTCACCCAAAACTTATAACAATCAATTTAATTTTCCAGTTAGTAAAGATCTGAAAGATGTTTTTTATTTCTTAGATTTAATCAACCATGCCATATTGGAGTAATAAGAAGTTTTTTCTAGTATGGAACAACAAGAAGTTTTCTTATATTGAGAAATCTTTTCCATCCTAATAAAATCACTTTGTATGCTCTTCAGTTTTTTTCTAGTTTTGAGTAACAAGAAGTTTTCATCTGTGTGCCTGTCTAAAAGCCTGCTTATGTTGACCACTAGCTGCCTGGGTAGCAGGCTAGGCAGTTTTTCCAATACAAGAAAGTCGAAAGAAATTCTTTTTCGGTTGCAAACTGTTTATTCTGATCAGAATGATTGCCTTAGTAATCCCTTTAAAAATAGATAGTAGGTGACTTTTTTCCTATTTGTTTTCTAAGCTCTGCCTATTTCACCATCATACTTTCCTTCCATTAAATGTGAGGGACAGTTAAGCTGTGGTATATTTTCATGATTGCAGCCCTCTGAAAAAGCTGTTCATTTTCATCTGCAAAACTTATGTCTTGTTCTTACTAAATAGTTTATTTTCTACTAGCTATTATCTGATCCTTAGTTGTTAGAGCCTTTAATGTCCTGATTATCAACAATTTCATGGTTGTGAATTACCTAGTAGCACCAGTTAAGGCCTACTCCACCTTATGTGGATAGCCAACCATATGCCAATATTTAAGGTCATAAATCTCCACGTTTCATACTGTTTCTCAATATACAGAAAGACAAAGTGTATTTTATTATCTAATAATCCCATTTTCCTCATTATGATATCATGCGGTATCTTAAATCATGTTCACCCTTATATGCTCCTAGCATATAACAACCAATCCTTTTAACTTTTAAGACTAAATCATCCATATCAACTGATCATATCATGTTGTTCCCGTATCTGTTTGGCTTTACAAATAATCAATTAGGACCAACACAACCAAGCACGTATGCATACACATATGCATACTCAATAATGTCAAAGGTGAGATCAACATGAGACACGAGAGGAAAAGTAGTCGGTCCCACTTCACGTTTACTATCTCTGCTGTCTTGGAAGCTTGCCATATGGGTTCATGGACTCAGGACATCATGTGGTTCATCAATCACATTTTTCCTCATATTAGCCTACCAAATCACAACCATTTATCTATTTGACCTGCTAACATTGTGGTTTCCTTATTGATCGCCTTTTGAAAGAAGCCATTAGGTTCTGTACAATGATATATGTCATGCGTGCAGACATATGCAAATGAATACATGTATACACGTATATGCACACACATATAATATAACAAACTGTATCTCATGCCATGAGATATTGAATGGAAACTTTATTTTAAAATATTTATGCTAGTTCTTCAGCACATCAATTTAGGATTTGATTTCGATATTCTTTGAAAGCATACTTCCCCTAGAAAACCTTAAACGTTAGAGTTACAGTTTACAGAAAATAATGTCTGTTGGTCGTGAACCTTGTGTGCCCCCATTTAATTTAATTTTTTGTTTCACACAAGAAAGGCCGACATCTATAGCTACTTGTCTAAGCTTTGTTGCATCTTTAAATTGCATGCAAAAATTCTTCAAGATTTCCAAGAATTTAAAATATTTTTATGGCACAAAATAAAAAACAATTACTTTTCTGGAATCCCTATACACTTGAGATTTAATGTTAAATTCACGTTTAGTATGTGCACAGTTTTATAAGAGCTGTGTACATTATTAACTGTAATAAAAACAAAATGTATGCACTTATTTTGAGAAAAGGTAAACTGATTACATTATTAGCATATTTAGTTATATATTTTAATCTACAAATACTATTTAATGCCACATGCACCATACTTGTGAATGAATCTAACCAAAATTTGGTTTGTCATTAAATTTTCCCATTAGATTTGCTAATTTATACGAGAGAAAAAAAAGAGTTCCTGTCAGTTATGCTCTTTTCCAAATTTTTAATGCTTCATTTTCATCAAGGGTCAAGACACTTCTGTTTCTAGGAATTGTGTACGAGGGAAGAATGCTGAAAGTTCAAATACAGCCTATTCTATCTGATATCACAACATGGAGTCAAGCTGGATTTCAGATCCTGATAATATCTTTATCTGTAGTCTTATTTAGGGAAATGATGTTGACCTGAACTGGGATACTAGATCACCATCTATCAAAATGGCCAAATTGATCTAGGTAATTCTTCTCGCATATTAGAGCTAATTAGAATATTTTAGTCATTTCATCTAGTTTTTCACTCTCCTTACAGTTCATAAATAATAAGTATATGTTTGAATCTATATTTATACATTAACAGATATAGGTAGAATTCATTATTTGAACAATATCCACAATGACATTTGTTTGTGAAAATTAACTCAGACAAATAGTTTTACATCTAGATCCTAAATATTAGGTGCAATCCGTAGTCAATCTTAGTAAACACTGCTAATAGATCCCAAACAGATAGTAACAAATATAATAACTCATGGTTATAAAATGTGTCATACATATATTTAGTTGCCATGCATAAGAAGGCACTAATGTCTGGGTACAGTAGGAAACATACACGAGATTTGCTTAAGAGGATTACACGTGTACAGTATATTTTGTCTCACATTCTGTGCATGCGGATCTTGGAAGTCATTGACGCTTCTGTATTATGGACATGTCTGATTCTTGTCAGAATTTGACTGCAATCAACCTTTTGTCAGCTTAGGTTACCTCCATAACAGCATGGACAATGGTAACATCTTTACAGCAAACCTGTTAATGGGGAATGGAATCCTCGTGATTAAGCTTCTAAAACTACAGCTAAATTTTTAGTGGATACAAAACTCACTGATGGAATTTTCTTCTTAGAAAGGGAACTGAAGGACTGACAATATGACCTGTATAAATTCTCTTTGCCCATCCTCCTATACATGCTGTAGAGCTATATAGAGGGCAATTTCAGGAGGAAACACATTTTCTTAAACGAACGCAATGTGATTTCAATTTTGAACCATTAGCAATTTGTTCCTTGTTTTTTACCCTCAAGAAAGCACTATAGGACCAAGAGCAAGATAAACAATCAAGTAAATTTAATAACATACAAGCATGTTTAAATGTTTAAGGAGTATTCTTCAGTTTCGTTCAACTTATCTGGTCATAGAGCTTAGTTTTCTTTCTTCCAGTTTTGCAAATAAGGTGGGATTATTTGATTCATGATTAAATATGACAGTCACATTTTCTGGGGAATTTTTTTTTTAATTATGGAGCAAACTGAATATTTTTCTGTTATTGTAGCGAATTTTATTGTGCTGTTGCATGGAAGGTGGTCTTCTTATTCAGAAATGATAACAGATTGCATGATTGCATTTTTTTAATGGAAGTGTGAACACTTACATGTTTATCATCATGATATGTGTGCACGTGCGCGTGTGTGCACACGCGCGCGTGTGTGCGTGCGTGCACGCACGCGCAGTGGCAGAGGCAGG